CAGCCCCGCCCCTCACCAGCCACACCCCTCACCAGCTCCTCCCATATTAGCCCTTCCCTCTCAACAGCCCCGCCCCTCATCAGCCCCACCCCTCACAAGCCACACCCCTCACCAGCTCCTCCCATATTAGCCCTTCCCTCTCACCAGCCCCGCCCCTCACAAGTCCCGCCCATCGTCAGCCCTTCCCTCTCACCAGCCCCGACGCAAACTACAGTACAGCCTTCAGCGGATCCCCAGCAACCACAGAGAGAGATCTCGCTGTCAGACCCCAGCATTCAGAGTCTCCAAAGTTCCACCTCCCCTTCTTTTCCCTTCCTCCTCTCCACGCCCTGCTCAGCTCCAGGGACTAGCTTCCCCATACCACTCTCCCCACAGCCTGCCCAGCCTGGGGCCTCCACCCCAAGCACCGTGGAGCCGCTGTCCTCAAACTCCGAATCCCATCCCCTCCTTTGTGCCCTCCCTAACGGGACATTTTGCATGGGTCCGCGTTCTCCAGAGAAACAGAACCAACAGGACGGGTTGAGGGACAGTGGGAGAGAGATTGACATGGTAACAAATGGACTTACTGTATGATTATGGAGACTGGCGAGTATTTCAAACCTGCAGGGGGCGCTGGCTGGCTGAAACCCAGGAAAGAGAGCTGATGTTGAGGCTTGAGGTGGGAGGCCAGCTGTGGTCAAATGCTTTCTTCCTCCGGGACAGTCAGTCTTTTTCTTTAAGTCTTCAACTGATTGGACAAGGCCCACCCACATTATAGTAGGCAGCCTGCTTTACTACAAGTCTACTGACTTTAATTAATCTTAGCCAGGCGCGCTGGCTCACGCCTGTAATCCCAGCACTTTGGGAGGCGGAGGCGGAAGGATCACAAGGTCAGGAGTTCGAGATCAGCCTGACCAACATGGTGAAACCCCATCTCTACTGAAAATACAAAAATCACCAGGTGTGGTGGCGGGTGCCTGTAATCCCAGCTTCTCGGGAGGCTGAGGCAAGAGAATCACTTGAATCCAGGAGGTGGAGATTGCCGTGAGCTGAGATTGCGTCACTGTACTCCAGCCTGGGCGACAGAGTAAGACCCCCTCTTTACAAAAAAATTACTGTTTTGAGCTTTCCGAGAGGAACTGTATTTAAAAAAAAAAAGAAAAAAAAATTGCGACATCTCATGACTGATGATGTTAACGCTGACCGCTTGCTTACGATGGCATCTGCCAGGCTTCTCCACTGTGGGCCATAATCTTTCCCTTTGTCGTTTACATGTATGTTGTGGGGAGACATTTTAAACCTATCTGAGTATCCTGTTTCTCCTCATACTATCATCTTGCTTGCAACAGTTAATATTATGGTATTTGCCAAATGGTGATTTCCTATTTTCATCCTTCTTTTTTTTTTTTTTGAGACGGAGTCTCACTCTGTCACCCAGGCTGGAGTGCAGTGGCGTGATCTCAGCTCACTGCAACCTCCATCTCCCAGGTTCAAGCGATTCTCCTGCCTCAGCCTTCTGAATAGCTAGGATTATAGGCCGGTGCCACCACACCCACCTAATTTTTTGTCTTTTTAGTAGAATCGGGGTTTCACCGTGTTGGCTGGCTGGTCTTGAACTTCTGACCTCATGATCCGCCCGCCTCAGCATCCCAAAAGGCTGGGATTACAGGCGTGTGCGACCGCGCCTAGCTTCATCCTTTTTTAATAGTAGAGGTTCTTCACTTGGGACCCCTATTGTATACAGGTGTTTTGATATGGGTCGTTCTGCAAGGGGAATGGCTAGGTATATAGAATGATATTCATTTTAAGTTTTATAAGAAAGAGCTGCTTTTAAATGCTGTGCTAGAGAGATGGCCAGTAGGTCCACAGTGGAAAAAAAAACACGCTTCTTCCTTTTCAGCAGAGGGTACAGACACTCCCTAACCCCTGCCTTCCCCACTCCCCCAAGAGCTAAATTCCAAGACCCTCCTGCCTTTCTCATCAGCAGGGAGTTTCAGATTACTAGGTCATGGCCTCTTGGTTTGGGAACAGTTTCTGAGAAGAAAAGTGTTTGAAGTCCGATCTGTCTGTGACCCTGACAGGCAGGGCTTTAGCTCAAAGCTCTGTTGGAGAAGTGGATGTCCTACTCTTTCTTTTCTTTTTTTTTTTTTTAGAGACAGGATCTGGCTCTGTTGCCCAGGCTGGAGTGCAGTGTGTAATCGTGGCTCACCGCAGCCTCCAATTTCTGGGCTGAAGTGATCCTCCTGCACCAGCCTTGGTAGCTGGGACTACAGGCATGTGCCACCACATCTCACTAAATTTTTTTTTTTTTTTTTTTTTGGTAGAGACAAGGGTCTCTCCATGTTGCCCAGGCTGGTCTTGAACTCCTGTCTTTAACGGATCCTCCTGCTTCAGCCTCCCAAAGCGCTCGGATTACAGGTGTGAGCCACCATGCCTGGCCTCAATGAGTTGAAGTTTGTTACACTTTTAAAATGCAATATCATGGCTGGGTGCAGTGGCTCATGCCTGCAATCCCAGCACTTCGGGAGGCTGAGGCAGGCGGATCACCTGAGGACAGGAGTTTGAGTTCAGCCTGGCCAATACGGCAAAACCCTCTCTCTACTAAAAATACAAAAATTAGCTGGATGTGGTGGTGGGTGCCTGTAATCCCAGCTACTCAGGAGGCTGACGCAGGGAGAATGGCTTGAACCTGGGAGGTGGAGGTGGTAGTGAGCCAAGATCGTGCCACTGCACTCCAGCCTGGCTGACAGAGCGAGACTTTGTCTCAAAAAAAAAAGGAAAAATACAGTAACACACCTATAAGAAAAGCTGGACAAGGCAGCCCCTGAATCACTGACCAGGACTGAAAAGTTTTCAAGTGATCATTAATGTTGCACATTTGTTCTCTCCTTTACCAGGTAAGTAATTACCTGAACAATGTTTCAGAAGCACTGGGGTCCTCAGTGTGGGTGTGAACTGGCTTTCCAGGGAGTTCTTCTCACCCACTCCCTGGGTTAGGAGGTGAAACCAGAACATTCAGTCAGGACTGACATGCATTTGTCGTGAGCCTCCCCTTTGCCTGCAAAATCTAACGACTGGAAACCTTGCTAATTAAAACAAGGTTTTAATTAGAGGGTGGCAGTGACTCACCTGTAGTCCTAGCTACCTGGGAGGCTGAGGCAGGAGGATTGCCTGACGCCAGGAGTTCGAGACCAGCCTGGGCAACACAGTGAGACCCCAATCTTTACAAATTTTTCTTTCTTTTTTTCTTTTTTAAGATGGGGTTTCACCATGATGGCCAGGCTGGTCTTGAACTCCTGACCTCAGGTGATCCACCCACCTAGGCCTCCCAAAGTGCTAGGATTACAGGTGTGAGCCACCGCACCCTGCCAATCTTTACAAATTTTTAAAAAGCATTAGCCATGTGTTGTGGTGTGCACCTGTAGTCCCAGCTACCTGGGAAGCCTAGGTGGGAGGATCACTTGAGCCCAGGAGTTCGAGGTTGTGGTGAGCTGTGATTGTGCTGAGCCTGGACGACAGAGTGAGACCCTGTTTGAAAATAAATAAATAAATACAATAATAAAACTTATTTTCATTCTTTTAGAGAAATTCCATATTGCTGATCTTAATTATCATCATTATTGCTGTTGTTATAAATTACTAGGGAAGGGGCCAGGTGTGGTGGCTCATACCTGTAATCCCAGCACTTTGGGAGGCCAAGAAGGGTGGATCACCTGAGGTCAGGAGTTTGAGACCAGCCTGGCCAACATGGTGAAATCCTGTCTATACTAAAAGATACAAAAATTAGCCAGGTGTGGTGACGCACATCTGTAATCCCAGCTACTCAGGAGGCTGAGGCAGGAGAATTGCTTGAACCTGGGAAGCGGAGGTCACAGTGAGCCAAGATGGTGTCACTGCGCTCCAGCCTGGGCAGCAGAGCGAGACCCCATCTCAAAAATAATAGTAATAATGTAGTAGGGAAGGCAGGAT